CGAAGCAAGCGAATTCTCTCTCTGTGGTATCGAGGGCAACAGGGGTAGTGTAGAGCTTTGTGCAAGCAGTTGTGGAATAGACATCATCACAGTTGATAGCAGCATTAGTTGGCTAGAAAGATGACAATTATTAGAAGTTGTTGCGATCAAGCAACTCACGTTGGTTCCATCGGTACAGTTGGTATCGATGATGGCTTGAGCCGAGATGACGAAGGAAACGAAAACTACCACACGAAACATTGCAGTGCTGACTTTAGAATGAATATCTGTAATCACTTGCTGCTTTTATACGGAGAGATCATGTCGCAAATTTCGTTTATTTTTTGAATAGCTTACATCTGAATCAACAAGCTTTGAACGATATAATTTTTGTGACCACGCGATTGTATCAATAAATCCTAGAAGTCTGTCCAATGCCTAAGCCAGGTGAAAGATCAACATACTTGCTGCTAACAGATGAAAAAATAAAAGAATGAGACAATGTCTTTGTCGTTAGTACATTCCGCAAGATTTTTTGTCCAAGAACTTCATATTGCAAACATGATCCATCATTGTTTTATCAGCAGCATTGACTTTTTCATGAAAATGATTCTATATCCTCTACTCTCATATATACTTTGATGTTTTCACCATGCGTAACATGTTGCAAAGCTTTTGTTACATGATCATCTATGGAAGAGTTCTTCGAAAACCCGGAAATGTTCAAAGTTCCATCATATGCTCATCACAACCGAAATGCTTCTCAATATTGAGTTTGATTACGTTTCCTCTAACATTTTAACGTCTCTTAACGTCAATCAGCCACATTGATATTCTTCCTCCAACCTCATTGTTTCATTCTGCCAAATTATACGCCATATGAATGTTTTATCAATCGGAAACAGTCTACACCCAACGTTGATGAATGGCAAAATGCAAATAACGTCCTATCACGTATTCATTTTCCCATATGTAATTTGCTAATGATACAAATTTTCGAGCAAATCTTTCCATAATATTTGATCAGGACTGTTAATCAGCAAGCGTGATGATGGGAGTTCGTCAGCTCATTTGGTTTGAAGCCCCCGATGTCGCCCATTGTATGAAGCTATTCATGTTAACAATCTGATTTCCAAAACTTTCATGAATCCTTTGATTGATCTTCTAGTACATTTGAAAAGTAGATTTGAATTCAGAGAAATATTTATTGCGGATTGGTCATATCCGAGCGTTTGGTACAATTGAAAGACAAAATATGGAGAAAAACAAGTAGTGAAAGTAAGGAGAAATCCCAACGTGCTTCCTCACTTTGGTGTTTAGCACAAGCCACACGATATTCCACAGTTTCTTCTTTTCTCAGCGGTAGAGTAGAATGTGTTGGTACAGAAACCGTTTCTTACCCAGCTAGCGCAGCTGAAAGAACACAAGTAGAGAAAATCAAAGTTTCTAAATCTTACTTAGCGGCAGCATCTCTACAAGTTGTGCTAGAAGCTGTGCTTGTTGCAGAAGAAGAAGTCGTAGAGGAAGAATCGCAAAGTCCGCATGTACGTTTACAGTTGGTCTGAATGGATGTTTATACTTTGAGCGTATACAGAATTAAAAACCCTGGAGAACTCTTCGAGCCCATTGATGAAACAAACAGATGGGTTTAAGCCACAGTCTGGAGCAGCATCAACACATCCTCCTGAAACATATCAGTTTCCTTTACTACATTAATTTTATTGAGACCGAGAGTACAGAATCCGCAAGAGGCTGGGCAATCTTGAGCGATGATCTCTCTCCAGGTGGGGTCTTTGCACATGGCAAGTGAGATTCTTGAACAGTCGATTCTTGGTCCTGAACGAAAAATTCGAATTTCCAGAGTCTTTTTAAGGAGTTATACTCTCGGCGTTTCTGCAGTTGTATTCCTTGCTAAGAC